ACTGCCTGAATGCCTATGGATGAAGGCTTGTTGTTTGGATTAGAACGATTCAACGAATGTGCGTTTAAGCCCACTATGTCTAGTGGCAAATTCACAGTTTTAAGCCCACTTTGTTGAGTGGCAAATTCATAAACTTTAAGCCTACCTGAGGTGGCAAATTCAAACCCTTTTCACAAAATAAACATGAAATTGAGTTGTTCCAATTTGGGCAAACTAGTCTATACTTGTGCGCATCACATAGTAAAGCTAGCTTAATAACCGGAACAAGAGCACATAATGTACATAAAAATCATATCATGATTAGTAGAGGCCGATCTTTGATCGGGCGAGTGGGGGTGCTCAATTCATGACCTTCCCCTCTTGTACTTAAGTTCCCGAGCCGAGGCAACTTTGGTGATGACGGACATGTGGCCTTCGACATGAGTCATGGGCTTCCTAAATTTTTCCAAAATAAAATATTTAGGTGACAATTCTGTATCTGGCAAAGCAGTCCAATTTTGACATTTTTTTATTCAAAATCGATTTTCTAAAAGATTTGTTGGATTTGGACTCTTTGGTGTTTATCAATTTCACATTGCACTTATGAAGTTAGATTCAGAACCGCAAGAGTCCAAATTGTAGCGTTTATTTTCGAGTTTCTGAAAAAGGGCGCAAAAAAGCCGAGCTACAATATTTTATAAATAGGTGGGCTGAACTATAAATTTTTTTATCTCAAGCCCAATCCAAATATCAAGTGGACACAAAATCTCAATCCAATCTAGTCCTATGGACAAAATAATTTTTCAACCCTTAAAAATATCAAACTAGACTAGACAAATTGAAGAGGGCCGTCGGGCTAATAGTCACTCCTAAACTTCGCCTAAACTTTCAAAAACTTTTATGCAAACTATTTTTGAAGGCTTAGAGCATTTTCACCTGAATTGTCAATTTTGAAGTGTCGCGTGTGACAATAAAATTTGACAGCTAATTGTGCTTAATCTAAATCTTCCCCAGTTGTTGTAAATTTAACATGTCTTAGCAATTCCAAATTTGACATATCAAAAAGAAAATGTAAAATACTTTTATTTTTATTATTTTAATAGTGAAGATCAATAAAAGAATTTAAAAATATTTAAAATAAAATAATAAATTTGACACATTGAATGGAGTTTTTTTTGTTCAAAAAATAATAATAAATAAGCCTTCGACCATTCATCTTCATGGGCCACTGCCATCCAAAAATTGCCCAAATTGTAATGGTAGCTTCATTCTGAACATGACGGAATTTTTTTCAAAAAAAGAGAGAGTAAATAAATAAAATAGAATTGCTGTGCAAAACTGCCGTCAATGTGCTTAAAATTAAACTTAACAAATATTTAAATAAATAAATAAATCAAAAAAATTAAATTTGGAAATTTGAAATTTGCAACAAAAAAAAAAAAAATAAAAGTAAAAAATCTACTATATCCTAGGGTATATGTAATGCATCTTGTAGGCATGGAAGAGTTGAAGATCCTCATTTATGACAGGGTCATTGGAGCCGAAATAGTTACTTTAAATTTTTTTTTCTCAGTAATGAGATTAAAAGCTGAAAATAGAGAGAAAATGGGAATGATGATAAACTAGAAGAAAATAAAACATAATTGGGAACTCGTAAGTTGTAGCAACCTTACATTCTCATCAATTTTCTTTCTAGTCAAACAGAGGATCATATCATAATTAGCAGTAACATATTGTAATTTAGAATTGAATTAGGGCAACGAACTCATAAATAATCGGGAAATTTGGCCATAAATCCCTCTTAACTTTCTTTTCTTGTTAAAAAGATAGAAAAAAATTTAGTACTTTCAAAACCTCCTTGTAATTATAACATTCTGTATAAAGGACAAAATTTGTTATTCGAATATTTTATTTGACCATTATACCCTCTCTTTCTTCCATTTCTTTTATAGCACTCTCTTTCTCTCTCTGTAATGCCCCGAAATAAAACAATATGCCAACCAAGAAAATAAGAATCAGAGTATAGATGAGATCCAGTTGTATAAGAGAGTGACATATGCAATTATACATTCATGAGCCTAGCCTTGAATTTACAGCATATATCACAGCATGAGATAGAAACTGGAAGAAAAACAAATAATAAATGCCCTAAAGGCTTACAACTTTCCAATGTAGGTTCTTGGTTACAACAAAAATGGACTTTAAGTCAACATATTTAAAGCCCTTGGCTATATAAAATAATTACAACAAAAAAGAAGCTCTTGTTCCCGACTCTTCCAAGTTACTTCCTTGGCAGAAGCATATTACCAACACTTGAAATATTTTTTCCACATAGGATGAACCAAAACGTAGTAGAAACAATTTAACACAATATATAAATCTTGACAAAGATATGCCTGTGATTTAAACTCATTTCCGACTATTTCTCAAAACCATGCTATGTCAAGCTTCATATCTCAATTCATTAATCATATCCATTTCATTCAATCAATCAAACTGAAGATACAACTCATTGGGTCTCAAATCAATATAGTTGTCATACAAATACATCTATTTTCCATTTTACGAAAATTTCGTCAATGGGAATCGGCACCCATGTATACGCACGGTTTCAGGACTTTCACCCTGGACACACAAGCCAACTTAATTTACGATAGTTCATCCCCTTTCTTCTCCCAAGTATGGAGTACATCCTCTTTCTCCTCCCACATATCATACATATACAATGTATTAAAACACAGTCATATTCAATGACAACCGATAAGAGATTAGTTTCAATTCACCTAATCCTCATGCATTTTCTACAACAATCATATTTATCCTCCACCGATAGCCCCAAACAGTAATTACTAAATAGATATACAATCTCTGCGACAGATAAATTATCAAAATTTCCATAGGCGAGAGGTAATACATATTAAACTCCGCCATTTATATAAGCATCCATCCAATTTCACATTCTTAATGCCAATTTCATTTATTATACAAAGTATCCATTTAAGACATTTTAGGGTTAACCCCCATTTTCTTCCAAAACCCTTCCCGAGTATCAAAATCAATGTATTTAACACCACACAACCTCATATCTAGTCCCATAACCATTTTTAACACATACATTCAAAGACCTATCTTTTGGTTTTAAACCCAAAACCCTAGGTTTGTTAAAAATCACCTCAAGTTTCAATATTTCTTACATATCAACAAATAACTAAGTTAAAACTTGTAGAAGAGTGTAGAAAGTTCTTACCTCAAAGTTAAAAGACGAGCAAAACAAAGGGGAAACTTCAAAGACGCCGAAACCGAGTTTTGTTTGGATCAAAATGGAGCTCTTGAGATACTCTACCTTTTTCCCAAAGGCACTAGGGTAGAGAAACCAACAGATCTAAGTGAAAATGTAGAGATAATGCAGGTTTACAACAAAAGTAATCTATGGTGACAAAAAGTAGTGAAAAAATAAATTTCGTCACTAAATAAGAATAATTCATGACAAATTATAAAATTTTGTCATATATAATAAGAAAATAAAAATAATAGGTGACGAAATTTATTTTCGTCAATAAATACTTCTTTTTAGGTGAGGAATTAAGTTTCGTCATTGAAGGTTTTCCTGCTAATTTTTTTTGGTGATGCCAAAATTTTGAGACTTTTGGTGAGAAAAAAAAGTTGTTACCAATTATAAAATTATTAGTGGGGAATATATTTCCGTCACCAATAATTTTACATTTTTTTTTTGAAAAATTTGATTTTAAATATTTTAAGATTATTTGGTGGGAAATATATTTTCGTCATTAATAATTTTAAATATTTTGAGACCTTTTAGTGAGGAAATTATTTTATCACTAATTTTGAAGGGAATATTTTGACAAATTGAGTGGCAATGAAAAAAATTGAGTACTATTTTTTTCCTTTTTTTTTTGGTGTTTATCAGTTTTCCTCTCATATCTCTCTCTCACTACAACAAATTGCAAATTTGGCGATTAAAAGATTTCATAAAACACACAGATTTATTTTTTGGTTGGAATACTTTCACATTACCACCCAATTTATGAATTATGATTTAATTTTATTTTTTTCATATTTTTCTCAATATTTACTTACGCCCAAAATTAAAACGACAAAAAAAATTCTGATTTAGCGCCTAATGGAATAATATCAAAATTTCAGTCCAAATTTTTTTTTAAACTACTTGATTAGAACTTTGTTCCTAATATAGTTCTTTCACAAAACTGTAACAGAGAACCACCGTGAGTTCGTCCTCCACCGTGAGGACGGTTCATCCTCCATACTATGAGTTCATCCTACACCGACATCAAGCTATAGCACCACCGTGAGTTCCAGGTCAGTTTGTTGTCTCTGTTTCTCTTTCTCTACCCCTCTTTCTCTCTCTTCAGGTCTCTGGGTTTCTCATTCTCTACCTTAACTCTGTCTTCGGACGTGTTTGCGTAAATGGAATTCATTGTTAAGATGAGATTAAAGTCATTCCATTTGTTACTTCTAACATCTCCAAACTTCTCTACTTTAAAGGGTTCCATGAATAACTTGAATGATTTTAATTTGAGGGGTAAATATAGAAAATAGAATGATTAACATGTTCTGTATTCTGATTATGATATTCATATTCTACCTAATATAATCATTGAAGTGAATGAATTGTTGGTGATTCTATATACAGTAAAGTCTCATGCTTCTGATTATGGGTCTGTTAGGTGTTTGATAAAATGCCACAATGGCTAGTTTAGAATAAAAAAATCTAATCAAATTCAATCAAACAGAATAAAAAACCATGAAACAATTCAGAATAAAAAACCAATTCAAACAGAATAACCACAATAACACACCAAATGATCAAATTCAATCAAATCATTAAAAAATCTGTGAAAGCTAGTGTCAAATTGTAACTCACCTCACCGAATTGCTTTCCACAAGCTTCCCGATTCCCACAAAACACCCAACAATCACACTAACAAGGCCCATGATTCCCAGTACACATGACCTTCCAAGCCTCACAACACTCTTCAGAAGAATTGAACTTGAATTCAGAACCCCAACACATGGCCTTACGTGATTCATTTGATAGTTAATGTTTGGGTACCGGGTTGGATTCAATTCTTCAAGTGAGTAAAGTTTGATACATATAGTATAATTTTTTTATTATATATATATATACACCAGTTTAGTGCTTTTTGTGTAGTGTTTGTTTATTGATTGAAACCCACATATTATTCACTTGTCATACTTAATCAATTTTCTTTAAGAGTCGAAAGATTGGATTTTTCTAGGAAAGTTTCATTTTGTTTGATTTAGTTAATATTTTCTTTCATTACCTTGTTCTTCTCTTGTCTTGAGCATCTCTACTTCTCTGCATCTGTGAGTGTTTGTGTTTTAGAAGGTTAAAATTGACTTGAGTTCTTAGTTAATGTTCTAATCACATTAGTTTAGTTACCAATGATGATGTGCAAAATTTACAATGAGTAAATTTTTTTTTTCTGTGCTAGAGATTCTTCCATTTCTTTGAGATCAATCTGTGGCTTTTGTTGATGTATATCATCAAAAAAAATATAATAAACAATTGACAAACTTAAAATCAAGTTCTAAGTTTTTTTTTTTTGGTTATTGGTGGATGTGAACTTGCCTCTTACTAATTTTGATGCAATTATTACAAATGAATATAACTTCACTATTGCATATTTAAAGTTATCGATGAATCGGAAACATCAATGTCTTGTTGTTTATTTTACTTTTTTATTTTTAAAAGTAGTTTTTGTTAGTTGTTATTTCCGTGTATAGTCTTTGTCATTGCGAACGGATAGTTCTCTGATCATTACTTTAAAGTTTCAAAATTTGATGCAGAAGATATAAGCTACAACTTACAAAATTTATTTCGATATTGGACAATAAAGTGCCATATCTTTTATTACTTCAATCTTATCTTCATTCTTCATTTTATTTGAATTGAGTAGTATTCATCATTTTGACAACTATGTGGACAATATTGTGAGATTTTATTTCATAAGAGGCCTAAAATTTGGTTTACAGATTCATTGATTCCTGTTTCTTTTCTTTGCTTTCTTGAATTGTATTTCAGGATAGTTTGGATGGAGTACCAGAGGTTTTGTTTGATCCGAATGGACTTAGCGAGGATGGAACGATTACAATGAGAATTTGTGCTGTTAGCCAAGATGCCAAGTACTTGGCATATGGACTTAGCTCAAATGGAAGTGATTGGATCACTATCAAAGTTATGCAGGTCGAAAATAAGACAATCGAGCTTGATACTGTGTCTTGGGTGAGTACTAAGACATTCATCAACCTTTTAATATGAATCGAAAAAGACCATCGATAGAAATATATATTGCACAGCTTGAAATTTTTTATATATATATGCATATTTTTGCCTGTCTATATATATGCATATTTTATTTGGTAAAAAGTGTGTTTTTATTTTTGTCCATTTTGCTACAGGTTAAGTTTTCCTGTGCTAGTTGGACCCATGATAGCAAAGGTTTTTTCTATAGCCGATACCCAGCTCCCAAGTAAGTAAAACAGCAGCCTTGACTTGTAATATTCACTTGGACATTTTGTAGTTTTAATTCTGTAACTAATATATGAAGAAATTTGAGTAGAAGATGAGTCTGGGGTATGACCCTTTCTTTTTTACTTTTTTTTTCCCCCCTTTTTGGTGATATTTTGAAAATTACAATGTAGCAGTAACTCTGTTATGGACTAATAATAATAAACAACTCCACAGAGGTCTCAGCACCCCTTTCTGTTGGCTGCCGTTGATTAGTGTTGTCCTCATTTCAAAGCTGTTGTTGATTGGTGCCATCCTCCTCTCAGAGTATCTTGTTGATAGCGGAAATCCACAGAGGCCAAAATTACACATATAACAGTCATTGCCAAAGGTGTCAAATTGAAATCCTTTTGGTATGATGCCTGACAAGTCATTGTAGCTAACATTATATACTTCAAGAAACCTAAGGGAAGTTAATTCTGGAGGGATTACACCAGACAACTGGTTACTGGATAGATCTAAAGCCTCTACACTCACAATGTTTTTTAAAATTGGAGGAATATGACTAGTAAGAAGGTTATTTGACAGATTAAGTACAATGATGCCTCGCAAATTGCCAATTTGGGTTGGAATAGCGCTGGTAATTTTGCCTTTGAAGATAGAATTCACAAAATAAAAAATATTGGGGGAATTGTGAATCTATATCATAGTAATGATGGTAAATTTTTTTGTCTTTGTCTGTAGAGAGAGTGAAAATTTGGATGCTAGCACTGAGACCAGTGCCAACTTGAACCATGAGGTGTACTATCATTTCTTGGGTACTAATCAATCTGAAGATATTTTATGTTGGAGAGATATTGAAAATCCAAAGCACAAATTTTGCAATTGTGTAACAAATGATGGAAAGGTAACAAGCTTTCTACCTGTACTACTTTCTAGTTTGTGTAGTTCAGTAGGAAGCACTTCATAGCTTCATCTTATCATTTTTTTGTTGCTGCTTTTGGCCTATTAGTGTAAAATGCTTAAACACCAGAAATGAGTGGTAGTCTCAGTGCATTTTTTTTGGCCTTGTGCATGTTTAAGTCTGTCTATTTACAAATCCCACTCTACCCCTATAGAAAATCATTGGTAAAGTGATTTACCCTATTTGTTGGATTTATTTTCAATTTGTTTTTTGAAATTGTTTAAGGGGCAAATTACACTAACGGTTCCTATAGTTTGGGTCTTGTGTCACTTTGATTCCTTGCTTTTCAATTGTAATACATTTGATCCTAAATTTTGAATCTTGTTTCAAATGAGGACAATTGAAGATATCGTTGCTCAATTTCAATGGCAAAGTCGTCAATTTGATAAAATATAAACTAATTTGACAAAAATAAATATCAAAAAAATATTTTTAAATTTTTAAAAATTGTTTGTACCCACTAAAGATAAAATTATGTAAAATTGATAAATCTTTTAGGGGATACCCAAGAAGTCTATGAAGAAAATTTATAACCCACTTAGTCCCATGTATTTATACTTTTATTCCATAAGGTCATTTTTCTTGATTTACACTAGTTTTTTAGACTCTTATATTTAATGTTGATATATATTACACACACAAAATTAAACATTCACTGCATCGGGATGTTGATTGTCATTATATTCACATTAATTTGGAATGAAATTTTGTTATTGTGGTGTTAATTGGTATTAATTTTGTCATATAACCCTTGTTAAAATACACACTAACCAAAGTAGAGACAAAACTATGTGTTTAATTTTTTGTGTATTTTTGGGGTAATTCTGTTTACACATCGCTACTTATCTTAGTATACACCATTTAATTAGTTTACACCCTACACAAATTAAAACATTTAATTTTATCTCAATACACATCAATAATTTTCAGATAATACTAAACTACCCACATTTTCTCCAACAAATAAATATTGTATACAATTAGAGACTAATGTTAACAATTACAGGCTTGAAATGTGAATTTTCTTCTTCAATAAAAATACCCAGAGCATAATTCGATTCAACCATACCATTTATTCATAAGAATACTCAGATCCGTAGCAAACCAGTGAAGATTAAGCAAAGAAACAGACCTTTACACTGTCATAACCAGTGAGGTGAAGCAAAGCGTACTAAAGCATACAACCATGTCCAGCGGAGAGAACAAAGCGATCGCGATTGAACCAAATAAGGTTCTTCGGATTATACTTCATCAACTCATCGTGTAGTATATCACCCATCGGAGCACAACCCATGGGAAGACCCGGGTAACCCGAATTGGCCTTCTCGACAGCGTCGATTGCGAGGAAATAGATTGTGTTGATCTATTTCTCGACGAGAGCAGTGTCGGTTTTGGGGAGAGTTTCGGTGGAGGTGCGGACTGGGCGGAGGGAGTTGAGGCACTGCCGTGAGGTGGTTGGGGAGTGGATGGGGTGGGAGGAGGAAGTGGAAGGGGTGGATTTGAGGCCGGAGTGAGGGAGGGAGAGAGAAAGGGAGGGTGGGTTGGTAATTTGATTGAAGAATATAAATGTAATAAAAAAATTTTAGAGAAAATATGCGTATTGAGTTAATCAAATGTGTGGAAATAGAATTTTCCGTATTTTTGCTAGGCAGTGTTGGAGTTGCTCTAAGCTAGTGATGTGATTAATAGGAGCTTGCCATGTGCAAATGAACTTTTGGTTGTTAAGCTAGACTAATTGTGTACACTATTTTTATTGACATGGATAGAGAGATCTATACAATATAATTGATAATATGTTAATATTTTTCTTGTTTATATTCTTTGCAGATTGGTTTTTGATGATGTTTGGAAGCATATTTGCAAATCAAGATCAAGTGTTGACTTTTTTCCTCTTTTTTTTTTCTTTTTCTTTTTTTTTTTTTTTTTTTTGTGTGGACTCTACGTTAGTTCATTTTGAGATTTGCTTTAGTTTTTTGTTATACTTAATGGATTATTATTAAATTTGTTTGATGGATATATTTTGATTTATAATATAAATTGTTTAGTGAATTTTTTTGTGGAGTGGTGTATAACAGCTAGTAGATTTCTTAGTACATTTAAAAGGCTATTGGAATATGAGTAGGTATATTTGTGTGAAATAGTAATTTAAATTGAAATATAAAATATGAAACAAGTTTAGTGATGAATTTTTTTCGTCATTTGTACTTGTTATTATGACAAAGTGATTATTCGTCGCTAATAAATATTTTTTGTGATAAAATTTATTACAACTTATATATGAAAGTTTTCATTGATTTTGTTGTTTGGTAACTAAACATTTTGTCACGTATATATATATTTTGGTCACGAAATGAGTTTCGTCACCCATGTATGGCCTTTTGGAGACGAATAATTTTGTCAACTTTACATCTTACTATGACGAAATTATTTCGTCATCAATGATCAACATGTGTGACAAATTTATTCGTCAACTAAAGTTATAAATATGGTACTGAATAACTATTTGGTGATGAAAATGATGATTTGTTATGACAAAATGATATTTTATTGGTGATAAAAATTTTCGTCACTAAAGTAATTTCATTGGTGACAAAATTATTTTTCTCTATGGTGCTTTTTAGTGACAAACATTCAATGACGAAACCGGTGAGGAAAATATTTCCTCACAAATATCTATAGTGACGAAATTAGCTCTTTGGAGACAAAAAAAAATTCGTTATTTAAGACCCAACTTGTTGTAGTGTTTTAGAGAGAGAGGGTCTCAACTTTAGGGTTTCGAAGGAAAAATGTGTGAAAAAGTGATGTATACAGGTGTTGTTGTGAACTGATATATACACAGTCCGCTCGAGCGTAAGAAATGACGCTCAAGCTCAGAATGTACACTCCTAATAGTTTTGCAAACAATAGACAAACACTCGAGCACAAGAAAGGCCGCTCGAGCTGAGCTCGCTCAAGTGCAAAAAGAACCGCTTGAGCGTAGAATACACTCTCCTAGTAGTTTTGCAGACCTGCAAAAGTACTGAGAGTTTGCAAAACCCGCTCGAGCGCAAGAAGTGCCACTCGAGTGGAGGAGCAAAAATCTGGGCAACAAAAGTTTGGAAACTATGGGCCTGTTTGGTAACGTTTACGTTTTCAGTTTATATTTACAAAAATTTTATAAACTGGTTTTTGTTTATTTTTAGAAAAACGTAAACTACAAACATGTTGGGTTTAGACAAAATGTTTTAAAAAACTTAAAAATATAAAAAAGAGTGAGAAATGGCAAGTGATGGCGGGTGGTGGGTGGAGACGAGTGGTGGCGGCAGAAGACGACGGTGGAAAATGATGGCAGGTGATGGTGGTGGATGACGATGGTGGAAAATGGTGGCAGGTGATGGGGATGGCAATTTCAACCCGACTCGACGGGGACCCGATCCCCCGACCCCGATTAGAATGGTTTTTCCCGAAAAAATATCCCCGCGAGGACGAGGATGGTATTCAAAATTGAATCCCCGATCAGTTTCGGGCCGAGGACGGGGATAGGTTTCCCCTGCCCCGGCCCCGTCCCCGATAATCCCCAACTAATTCCCCGATTATTCCCCGTATATATATATATATATTTAGGGTTGAGTTAAGTCAAGTCTGCCTCTCTCCCACTCATTCACTCACTCTCACTCCTCTTCTCTCCTCTCAGCCTCTACCCATCTCCATCTCTCTCTTTCTTTGCTACAGGTGTTTCTCGTGGCATCGACGGCGGCGGCGGCTCCTCCGCTGTCCTCTCCCTCTTCCAATCTTGCCGACCTCTCTAATCTCCCTCCTCAAGAACATCACGGCAACACCTTTCCCTCCACTGCTGGACTCCGACGCCTTTTCCTTCTGTCAACCTTTTCTTTCCGTCAACGTCGACACCTTTCTCTTCGTAGCCACACCATCTCTGCCGCTACCTTTCCGTCACAGCCAACACCATCTTTTTGATTTATCTTATTGAGTTGTACTTCTCAGATCTGTTGTGTAAATGTAGATCATTTATTGTTGATGTAAGATATTGTTGATCTGTTGAGTTGAACTATTGTTTGATGATATTGATGATCTGCTCCTGTAATAGGTTATTTATTTATTTATTTTTGTGAATCGGGGAACTTCGGGATCGGGGAAACCCGATCCCCATGGGGGACAGGGATGGGGACGAGGATAGGTTCTCCATCGGGGATCGGGATCAGGGCCGGGGAAATTTTCACTATCGGGGATCAGGGACGGTGCCTTGCTTTTATAACCAGCAGTGACTTGATCACTTTAGAAGCCTTACTTTAATGGACTCAGGCTCAATGTTCATCCTGGACACTTAGCTAGATAGAGATAAACTCTCATTGAGCCTTATCTTTATCCAGACTGAGATCTTCCCTTGTTCTAGGACTCTTGTCCCTTATTCGTTTATCTCAGATTCCGACATCTTTGCAGATAATCTCGGCCTAGCCGAGATCATTTCAGTAGTGTGACTGGGCTACGTGGCACCTCGGTTGACACTTCGGCGTCACCTTAGCCACGTGTTGTCATTCACAAAATCTTTCCCCACAACTGCCCCTAAGTTCTATTACCACTGCAACCTGAGGTGATGGAACCTACCTCGTTTGCCCACACTAAATGTCGGCTAAAAATTCGTTCTTCATTTAGACCGAGATCATGACTCGTCGGCTTCAAGTAACCAAGACTCTACTACCCACTCTATCAAGGACCAAGAACCAAGAATCAAGTTCTTTAAGCGTCTCAACCGAGATCGCTCCTCTAGTCGAGGTTATTACCTCATTACTTCAAGAATTTCAAGAGTTCTAACTGCGCATAAACTGTCACGCATAGTCTTTTCAACTGTTTCCTCCACGTGTCTCTCAACTATTGGCTCGTAGCTGGCACGCGCCATCAAGTCACGTCGATTTTGCCTACGCTGCCTAACAGGCACATTGCCCAAGGGTAGGTGGTGAGTGGTGGTGGCAGGTGGTGGGGGGTGGGTGGTAGTGGTAGAAGACGGTGGTGGAAAATGGTGGCGGGTGGTGGCTAGTGTTGGTTGGTAAAAAAAAAAAAAACTCAAAACTCAAAACGTAAACTCATTTTTTGAGTTTACAGTTTTTGGCCAAATTTATAAACTGAGACCATTGATTTATAAATCAAAAATTTACCACACAAGTTTTTATTTGAGTTTTTAAAATTTTTATAAATATAAACTGAAAATTGAAAATGTAAGTATTACCAAACGGCACCTAAGTAACCAATCTATCCTAAACGCAACCATAACAACCCAATAGCCAAATTTAAAGAAGCACAAGGGAAGCAAGATATGATCAATAATATGCAACTATGGAACCCGAGTCTAGAATACAATAAGGGTCGGGTCAAAACTGAAATTGCTATACTCTCTTTCTCTCTCTACTCGATGGTTGTTTATCGTCTCCACCATCTTCATCGTCTATCAGCATCGCTCATCCTCACTGTCGGCCGACAACCACCATTTTTATCATTAAACCACCACCATCTTAGATTTGATACTTACGAATTCATATTTGAGATCAATAACTTCAGATTAGAGATTAAAAAAAAAAAAAGATTTGACAAAAAAAATGAGAAATCGAGATATTGCAATGAAAAATTAAGAGTTTTTGTTTGTTTGTTCATAGATCTAAAAGTAACATTTGACTATGGTTCGCTCATTTAATATGTACTCTGTTTTCGTAACAGTAAAATTTTACTTTGGTTAACAACATACTGATATGCTTACTAATCTGTTTTTGTAACTTAGTAAGTTTTACTTTGATTCAGAGTAAAATTTTACTCTTTTTTTTTTAATTACAAAGTAAATTTTTACTCTGAATCAAAGTAAAGTTTATAATAATTCAAAGTAAAATTTTACTTTGAAACAAACTGTGATGATGGCTTTACAGAAGAGTTTTATGTCATGAACTAGAATAAAATATTACTGTTGAAAGAACAGAGCATCATGAGAAGAAGAAAGAGAGATAGAGAGACAGAGTTTGAAAATAGATAATCAAGAGGAGAAGAAGAAGAAAAAGAGAGAGAGAGAGAGAGAGAGAGAGAGATCTCAGATTTGAGATTTGCGAACCGTCGCAAATCGTCCTTTTCTTATGACGACAATTGTGAATGATCACAGTTCTGAAGTTGTGGATGCAACAAATAATGGTGGTAATGAAGACGGTAGAGAAAGAGTTCCATGGTGAGCGACGGTGGTGTAGATGGAAAGCGGCTGTGGTGAAGATGGAGAGCGGCGATGGCACCGATGAAGAGAATAGTGATAAGTGTGAGATAGAGAGAAGAGAGATTAAGATAAGAGTGAGTGATTACATGTTGATACACACACACATATATATATGAGGGTATTATAGTAAAAGAAATAATTTTTAAAATACTAAGGAGTTTTGAAAGGATCTATATAATCCTTGTCATTTTAAAGGACAAATTAGACACTCCCCCTAAATAATCATGAGACTCAACATTAACATCAATTTTTTTCCCAGTCAAATAGAGGATCATATCATCATTAGCAGTAACATATTGTAATTTATAAATGAATTAGGGCAACGAACTCATGAATGATCATGAGACTCAACATTAACAAACCCGGCGCAAGGCTATTTATCTATACAAAGGTGGTTAATTATTAAATAATATACTTTTGACACTAACGTGAATGAAAAAAAATGAATAGTTGACTTTAAGTTCGGCAATCCCAATATAATTTAAAAAGTTAAAAAGTTACACAAAAAATAAAAAAGACATTACTGTTTACAAATTAAAAATATTAAAAAAATATTATATA